TAGGCTTCCCCAATATTTTTCTGGTGAAGTGTTCGAATTGTGTTGAGTTCATGCAATATTTTTTGTTCCACATCCACTCTTGATGACAGCAACCAAAAGAACCAGCTTAGAGCTGATGAAGTCGAGTCTCGCCCGTAAAATGAAACTTATGATGATATCTCGGAGAAACTTGGTGGAGATGGCTGAGTTGTTCGACTTTTTCTATGTCACCAATAAATCGTGATAATAAATCTTCATCTTTCTTTTCCAGTCTTTCTTCTATTCTTAAACGTATGATTTTATCAGCAAAATTCATGCACTGTCGCGATTGATTTACGAAGCCTTCGCTCTGATCCCAAGTTGAAAAGCTTCTTTATTTCATAAAGAAACGATAGGGCATACATAAACCTCTCAGAGCTAAGCATCGCAGCCTCTTCAAATGCTTGCATGAACTCACGACCAGCAGTTCCGTCACCTCCAAGACAGCCCGGATCGAAATTGAATGCTAGTTTACATATATTATCAAAACCAAAGCGCTCCAAAATGTCTTGCATATCACAAACCCGGTTTGATTGTGCAGCATCTTCCAGGGTCGGAAGCAATCTGTTTTGTATCTCCACCGTTACATTCTTCATGACAAAGTTTCTGAAGGATTTCGTTTGAATTCATAGATGGCAGATTTTCGCTGAACCTTCCAGAGTTCACCATCCGAGTTGAAGATGCCACTGCCGAGAAGTCTTCTAGGAGGGTTATAAATCGAGTGCCTTTTGGGTAGTTCTTGAAGTTGATCTTGAGCATGTATTCAACGTTTAGAGGGTTGGCAGTGACGACGCCGTGAAATTTCCCGGGCAGGCGGAAGAAGGCGCTGTTGGTGTGGCAGTGAGAGAGGATTTGTGTGGTCCATTCCAGGAAGCGCTGGCGGTTTTGGAGGAGGACTCTGGGAGGATTCCGACCAGTGGGTAGACTTTGAAGCCTGGGGTTTTTTCTTGTTTGTGTTTTAGTTTGAGGAAGAAGAAGAGATAGAGGCAAAGAAAAGAGCAAGAAGATGAGAGTGGTCTGGAGAGAGAATAGTTCCATGATTGATGAGAGAGAGTACAGGGAGTAATCTCTACAAATTATGAGTAGGAGGTACTCATAGCACAAGTAGGCGGGCAGGTTAGACTACCTGAGTGGACTACCCTATCCATGTATGGAGATGGGCAATCTACAAGTCGAATGTTGACAATGAACAACCATCTCATTCACAATTATATTGGGACTCCCATTACAGGTTCGAAGAGTCCCAAACATCAATACATGATTATAGCCTTCGTCACTTGTTTGGAAGGTAAATCATGGAAAAGTTTGTGCGAATTTCGGTCCACCACTCTTAAAATAAAACACATTCTCACTAAATGTCACAAAATATAACTCAATGACCATTAATTAGTAACCATTTAAATTAGATCTATCTGAATGTTAGGGGGAAAACTAAATATTGTTCTGGTTCTCATGGGGTTTTAACAATTAGAGGTCGAAAATACCACTTCACAAAAGGAAAAGCATATAATTTTCAATGCTAGAAAAATAAAATCAATTATAAACAAATAAAAGCAACTCATCAAACCTAAATTCTGCTAAAAAAACTAGTGTTAGAGCGTCAGAGGCAAACAGTAGACAACACGGTAGAATGATTGCAGAATGATTCTCTTACAAATATTGACGTTCAATTCAAAGTATGGTAGAATGATAAATAATCCTTAATTTATGGCTATCATTCTCATCTAAACTGTGAAAATGAAGATTGGAATTCACTCATTTTGTTCACACACATATATTACAAATATACAATCATTTTATTCTTGCAATTATCCCTCCTGCTGCACAACCACCCTCTTCAGGATGTCAGCTTGTGCGAACCGAGGGGGAAGGTGAAAGCAACCCAGCAGAAGATTCTACTTCCATTACCAAGCTGGTTGGAAGGCAAACCATTGTGAAGAAGAGGAAAGCCACCGCCGAGGTATTTGTTGATGAGGCTAAAGGGGCTTGGATCTGGAAGAAATGATGTCGATGTGGCGGTCGGTCTGGCTAAGGCTACAATCCTTCCACCCATCTATGAATTTTTTATGATCTAGATGATTATTCTCTGAGTCCTTAATTGTTAATTGTTTTTCCCAATATCATTTTTCTTTCATTGCTTCACCCCTTTTTTATTTCAATTAGGGCATGAAACGAGTGTTTGATCTAGATGTCTGAGCTGTTAATAGGGGCAAGGAGGTAAAGGAGGTCATTCCTCGAAGTCTTTGGCCATGGAGAAATGCGGGTGTTTGGAAGAGAACTCAACAAAGGCTTCCGAAGATACTACTCATCTCTAGAGTGCAATTGAAAAATTATCTGGTCAGAACGATGAGGTAGCTAAGAAGATGAAGGCATCCAAACAATCTGAGAAGGCGGTTCGTGATGCTTTGGTGAAGGAGCTCAATTCTTTCCTCCAAGTTGACTTGGAGACCTTTTAGGCTTCACTCAAACAAGTTTAGGACAAGGCATAAAATTAGGGCTTTGACAAAGCTAAGAAGGCAACGATGGAGTAGTTTGGTGGAGCCTAATGACCCTGTCGAATTTTAAAACGTTGCAAAAATGATTTTTATTGCTTGCTTATAAGCATGTTGTAACCATCCCTTCCTCTTTGGGTGAATTCCTTCAACTAGTTGATCCTCCTGTTGAACCTCTTGCAATTGATGTCCCTATTATCGATTCTCCTGTCACTTGTCTTGTTGATTTTTCTACCGTTGACCCAGTTGATCCCTCTACTATTGTTGATACTATCAATTCACTTGCTACAAGTTCTTGAAAAAATTTTAGTTACTTATTTTCCCATATGTAGCTTTTGCTCTATGAATGGAATATACTGTGTTTTGTAGTATTTTGATTTCCCCATTTTAATTATTATTTATTGGCTTTTAAGAAGGGTCTTTAAAATTTAGAAAAAAATAATTGATAGGTCCCTCTTTCCTCTAGCATTGAGCTCTGTCCAAGAAGGGCTAGAGCATTTTGTGCTTAGAAAAAATAACTGATAGGTCCCCTATCCCCATAGCATTGAGGTTCGACCCCAAAATAAGGGTTAGGGCCATTTACATTTAGAAAATAATAACTTACAGGCCCCCTTCCCCCTAGCATGGAGGTTTAGTTCTCAAAGGGGGGCTAGGGCCTTTTACACTAAGAAAAAATAACTAATAGGTCCCCTTTCCCCCTAGCACTAAGGCTTGGTCCATAAGGAATGGTTAGGGGCTTTATACTTAGGAAAAAATAATTGATAGGTCCCTTTCCCCTAGCATTGAAGCTTGGTCCTAAAAGAAGGATAAGGTTTTTAAAAAAAAGAACAATTGGTAGTTCCCTATTCCCCTATTAGTGATGCTCGGTCCTCAAAGAAGGGTTAGGGTGTTAGTCCCTAATTTTCATATTGTAAACTCTGTACCAACCCACCAATCTAATCGGGCTCAGCGCTCTCTACCTTAAGCTTACACCATCGTGTCTATTTCTAGGTGTAAGCCTAATTAGTTGGCTACACTTGATCTAGGTCTTTGCTTTTGTCAGAATTTTTGTCTTCAATACCTTGGTAGTAGATTGAATTGTTCCTATGCCTTCCCATGTATTTTTCCTAGAATTTCATTATTTGGACTCGTTTTTCTCTTTCTTTTAGCAAAGTCTCATTGTGCAATTGATTCTAGAGATCTCGAAAGAAATAAAAAAAAATTTGTAATAAAGATTTTCATTTATTGAAAAGGCTACTTTACTTCTTTCTAAAGACTAACTAGATGACGTTGAAGCTACTTTAGGTCGACCTTTGGTGGAGGCACTCTAGTATTATTGATTAGAGGTTTTGCAATATTGTCCAATATTTGAAAGTACTTCAAAAGTAGTATTTTTGGAGATTCATTGCATTCCAGGGACGTGGAACTACTTTCCCTTATGTGGTTTTGAGTTTCTAAGATCTAAAGCCCCCAACCTTCCCTTCACCGATGGTTTTTGCGGCACCCATTATTCTTGTCAGAACTAGCTTGACCACCAGGAATCCCCCTGACCTTACATTTCTGCTATAAGCTTGGGCAATGTTTTATTAGTAAAATGCTGCCCTTATGGCTACTAATTTCCTTTTCACATCTTCCAGGCCTATGTCTTTGGCAATCATATCCTTGCTCTTCCCGCTATCAACTAGGTTAGTTTTAGGAGTGGATAGACCAATCTTTATGGGGATCACGACTTTCATCCCATGGGCTAGCTCAAAATGGGAATTTTCCCATTGCTTGTCGAGGGGTGGTTCAATGTGCCCATAAGACCCTCGATAGCTCTTCTACCCACTTTCCTTTGGCTTTCTCCAACCATTTGTTAATCCCATCTAGAATTGTCTTATTCAAGATCTCTGATTACCCATTACTTTGTGGATATGCGGGGGAGGATTTGTGATTCCTAATCTCATAACACAGTGATAATTTCGTGAATGGACCACTTTTGAACAGAGTGTTGTTATCAAAGATCAGCACCCTTGGGATACCAAACCTTATGATATATTTTCAGATGATTTTTTTTTGTATCTGTGTCCCTTATGTGACCAAGGGATTCAGCTTCACCCTCTGTTTCCACAAGAAGGTACTTCTTATTCCCGGATGCTTTTGGCAATGGTCCAGCAATGTCCAATAGCCACTGGGCGAAAGGCCATGGGTTCCCTAATGGATTCAAGCCTTACGCAGGCTGTCTCGGTATGGGGAAAAGTTTTGGCACTTCTTGCATTGTCTTACATAGCTCTGGGTATCCTTCCTCTTGAGTGAGATCCACAACTTTCTTCGTGAATCTCAGAAAGGAAATCCTCATCTTTATTTGGATATGCACAAAGTAGGTATGGACCCGTTAAGGATCATCTATAGAGCTCTCCGTTGGATGATATCCAAAACCTAGTCGCTTTCAATCTCACCTTATGAGGCTCTTTCCTATCATTGGGGAGTTATCCTTCTTTGATGAACTGTATAATCGGGTCAATCCAATTAGAGCCTATCTCGATGGAGAAAACTTTCACCGATACTCCCAACTCAATGCTCGATTGGTCTAGGTTCTCCCCAAGGATGTTCTTCGTCGAATTCTCCCCAAGGAACGTTGCTAGGGCAACTAGGGCATCGACGTGTGCTTTCTTGACCCTTGTAAACTGATGCACAACTAAGCTAGGGATCCTGCCTAGATCTTTAATTGCCAAATTATGGTATGATATTATTCATTCATCCATTGCCATGTATTACCCTTTTAATTGGTTTACAATGAGTTGAGCATTGGAATAGATGTCTAATTGTTAGGCATCCAAATGTGATGTGAGTCTTAATCCTACTAGGAGGGCCTCATATTCTGCTTTGTTAGATGGTATTTGTAATCGACTAATATCTTCGAGTCCATTGTAAAATCTTAACCTATTCTATAGTCATGAGGCTATCAAGTTCAAGATCTAAAAATGTCATTGAAGGGAGGACATCAATCATCAAAGTAACATCATTCAACCTCAGTATGCCCCTTCATACTAATGACAAAGGTAATGACCTAGGCACCTAAGATGAACCTTTGGTTAATTTTAGTTAGGTTGATTAGAATGAAAATGGTATTGGAAACAAACCGATTATGACTCCTAGGTGATTTTTTAAAAAACAGATTTTTTAAACCATTTATTAGTTTTGAAAACATAGTTTGAGTCATAATCGAACCCCTTTTTATACAACATCATTTAGGGCTTAGGATGATAATTTTTTGCATGGTTTTATGCTTAAAATCCTGTAGAGACTTATATATGCTTGCTAGCCTTCACTATAATGGTCTCTTTATAACTTAGGGAAGGAAATGAAAAAGGCCACAAAAGTTAGCATAGGACTATCTCTATGAGCTAGCTCAAGCGGTCTCATGGTTGCTCGAGTGATGCCCATGGTTGCTCAAGCAATACTTGCCTTAGTCGTGTTTGAAATATTTTTTTTATTTAAGTGATAGCCGCTCTATGACAGTCCTCCCACAAATCAAGCGGTCATTCGCGAATCTGAGTGTTTTATTTACTAAGCCTACCCTTATTCTAGACCTATAAATTGGGAGAGCCATTAACACATCTAAGTTAAACCTTTAGAGACATTTATAAGAGAGAATTTCATTCCTTTACCTTGAGAGCTTCCACCAAAACCTAGATCCCTAAGATCCAAAGGCTACCACTAGGGATTCTACCCAATCTCACAAATTAGAGTTGAAGATTTTGATAGTTTGGTAAAACTACTGGTGAGTGCATACCAAAGATTGTTGGCGTTTCCATAATCGCTCGAGACTTAGATGAACCAAAAGATAGGAAGGTCCAATAGAAGGTACACTAGATGTTGCAAAGGGACTTTCTGCTAAGATACATAGTAAGGAAAAAAGAATCAAACCATGGTATTGGTTTAGGTATAAGTCTCAAGTACTTATATGTTGACTTAGTGAGTAGTGGATTAGGCTTTGGTGAACTGAGAAGGTTCCCTATGATTTTTTTCGAGGAGAGTTTTCCACATCAACAAATTGCTAATGTTTCTTATTGTTTATCATATACACTTTCATTTGTTAGCACACACGCACACTATGTTTGTGGATTTGATTGATTGATTATTCAACCATTCATAGTTGTACAATTGGATTTGGGATTTGGGATCGTCATGAGATTGATTTTGAGTGGATTAATTGAACATTAATTAAAATCAATCTTCATGGTAAATTGGGTTGTGGTGACTAAAGGGCTTCTCACATTCTTTGTTTTATCTTTGTTAGAAGAGGTAATTGTGGTAGATATAGGTCTTTAAATTGGTAATCAATTGGGATAAATTTGAAAAACCTATTCACCCCCTCTAGGTATAGTGTCTTTGTCTCCACGTGTATAATCATAAGGAAATATTCATATCAGGTTCTCGTTTCTAGAGTAGTAATTTGTATCAAAACGTGGTTGCCTTGAGATCATCGACACTAAGTAGGCATATC